AATTATCGAATGGATATTACACGCACCAAGAACTGGAGGCGTATGACATGATCCATAGGTCGAAGACACTCTCTCGACTCTAGATTCAAGTTCGATTTCATCCATTGTCAGTGGAGTGGGGCGGCATATCTATTCCTATGAAATATAGCGACACCAATGAGAAGAGATTTCTTCATTCCTATCCTACTGCCGTTGATAACAGTGCAGATCGGTCTCAAGAAGATTCTTGATGTGAAATACGAACAAGCTGACTTAAAGCAGTTTGCCAAAGTCAAAACAGTTTGCAATAAGGAAGAGCAGGAAACACTTCATTCCTTATTCAACGAAGTACTCTGAGCCTAACGTCGATGGCACTGCTAGGAAAGTTGGCAGATGGATGACTAAGAAGTAGAACTCTCCATGAGCTAAAACCTATCAACGCTAGGGCCTTTTTTTATCCCCCCCCCTATTCCCACCGTTGTCTCATACCAACACCTTAAGATGAGGTTGGAACGTCTTTGCGAAGCAGAGAGTCTCAGGAAGGTAAACCGTCCGATGGGGCGGCACCAAACTTTTATCATTCCCAAAAAGGATGGATCGGTAACGATTCATCTCTGATTTTCCGGAACTCAACAAAAGGATTAAGCGGAAAGCTTATCCTATCCAAAAATACAGGACATGCTCTTGAATCTAGACGAATTCAAGTACGCCACTAGTCTAGACCTGAACATGCGGATACTATCACATGCGAGCTGTTACCTCACTCAAAACAACTCTGTACTATCGTACTCCGCGTGGGAAAGTACGAATACCAGAGGTTGCCTATGGCCTATGTAATAGTCCCGACATCTTCCAAGAGAAGATGGGAACACTATGCACGACGTAGAATACGTCCGTGCATACATTGATGATCACTCATCTAAATAACGGCGATCGGGCAGATCACGTTGTAAAGTTGGATGAAGTTTCGAAGGCTTCGAGAAGCCGGACTTAAGATCAATGCTACCAAGTCCTTCTTCGCAAGAGGAGAACTTGAATACTTAGGTTACTGTATTACTGAGAAGGGATCCAACCTATAACCAGAAAATAGACGCGATCAAGATATCGCTCCTCCTACTAAGCTGAAAAGAACTCCGTAGATTCATTGGACTAGTGACATATTATCGAGACATTGTGGATTTACAGATCACGGTGTACTGGCTCCACTCCTTCGTTGACTTCCAAAACAATGAAGTGGAAATGGAAAAGACGAACACGCCAAGGCCTTTAGCCAGATGAAAAGATTATCAGCAAAGAAACCTCCTCGCTTACCCTGACTTCAAACGATACATTCGTTATCCACGCGGATGCAGTGATACGCAATTGGGTGCAGTGATTTCCCATAAGGGAAAACATATCGCGTTTTACAGCAGGAAGCTCAACGCTGCTCAGGCAGCTACAACCGTTACCGAGAAGGAATTCTCAGTATTGTAGAAACTCTGAAAGAGTTCCGTAACATTCTTCTAGACAGAAGATTGTCGTACATACGGACCACAAGAAATCTTACATGTAAGCACTTCAATACTGATCGCGTAATGCAATGGCACCTTATTCTGGAAGAATACGGCCCTGAACTAGGGTACATCAAGGGCGAGCCCAACATCGTCGCCGAATCGTTGTCGAGACTTAACATCTCCAAACAATGATGGTTCTTCAGAACAAATGGAAGCCAGCGAGATCGCTGAGCTCATGGCTGCAGACGAAGAGGACTTCCCTAGCGAGTTCTCTCTCTCGTTCCCAGAGATCGAACATTGTCAGAAGGACGACAACGATATCAAGAAACTCCTCAGGGACAATCCAAACGACTACAAGAAGCAATCTTTTCCACCAGAGGGATAAGTCTTACGACTGAGTAGTCAAAGACGACAAGATCGTCGTACCTAAGACTATGCAGAAGAAGCTAGTCGAATGGTACCATGGTGTACTGCTGCATCCCGGCGAGACTCGCACAGATCTGACCATCAGCCAACACTACATCTGGAAAGGACTGCGCAAGACTGTGCAGGCCCTATGTCAGCGTTGCCAAAAATGCCAGATGAACAAACCAAAGAGAGGCCGTATGTCAGCGTTGCCAGAGCTGCCAGATGAACAAACCCAAGACGCGTAAGCTGGGATTGATGCCTCCAAAGACTTGCAAGGAGATCCCTTGGGAAAGACTATGTATTGACCTGATAGGCCCCTACAACGTCGGGGATCCTAAGAAAAAGAATTCCTGCACACTTCATTGCTTGACAATGATTGATCCCGTAACCGGATGGTTCGAGATTGCAGAGATCTGCTCCAAGGCAGCAGACGAAGTAGCCATCGTCCTAGAACAAACGTGGCTTACTCGGTATCCATGGCCTGCTGAGGTTATCATGGATAGAGGACGTGAGTTCCGCGCAGAGGTCGAAAAGACTCTCCGGGATGAATATGGACTTCGTCGCAAGTTCATCACTACGCGTAACCCTCAAGCCAACTCTATGGTCGAGCGTGCTCATCAGACCATACGCAACTTGATCGCTGTTCAAAACATCAAGTGCCAAGACGACCTCGTGAATGGATCCTGGGATGGAGTCCTCACGGCGGTTCGCTTTGCAATGAATGCCACGATTCATACCACCTTGCGTGCAACGCCTGCGCAGCTCGTGTTCAATCGTGACGCGATTCACAACGTCCGTTTCGAAGCCAACTGGAAGTACATCAAGGAACGTCGCCAACGACTAATCCAACAGAACAACGATAGGGAAAACGCGACGCGTGTCCCTCATCAATACAATGTCAACGATACCGTGATGATTCAACAGTATCAGCACCGCAAGTACGGTCAGCCAAAGTACAAAGGTCCTTACACTATAGACCGAGTCAATGACAATGGCACTGTACGGCTCCGACATGCTACCGCCAATGGCGGCACAGTCTACCAGACTTGGAACATAAGGTATATACACCCATACAAGGCCTGATCCCCTTGTAGGATTGCCATCGTGCGACGCACATGTCTACATCCAATCTCATGAGAGTGCCCCGCACTTTAAATCATATGTTCTCCTTGTCCGACTGCTGTCGCGCCTTCTGTGACCCTTGTCAGGGGGCGAATGCAATACACGGCTCTTAGCCTTATTCGCGACTCGATCCTAGATAGGGTTTGAGTTCGACTCATGACTGAGTCTCTCGTGAATAGTCATTTGAGACAGGGTTCTCAATGACCGCTCTAGTCATACTAGGTTGACGATGAAACATCGCTCTAGATATTTAACCAGCGTGGAGTATTTCCACGCTACTAGATCCATGCTAGACGAATCTTCCACGCGTTCCGTTTTAGGATCGTGGAGATACGTAGGATTACTACCGCAACCTACTCTATCACACTTTATAGTCTCCCACGGGAGACCAGATCTACGATCCCTTGATGGTGATCTCTCTCGTTGATTAGTTTTCATAGCTTTCTAATCTCTCTCATAACTTTCATTCTCTCAAACACAAAACACTCGAAAGATCTTTACACTAGCTTTTAGCGTAGTGCACAACCTCCAAAAGCTCCTCAACAGAGCCTATGGCAAATACCATACAGAACCTCAGATGCTTAACAAAGCCTTCAACAAAGCAGTGGAGACCTGGCTAGAGAAGCGTATGAAAACAAATGCAGACAAATACGTCTCGAGAACCACGGAACGACCCACCAGCCGAGCATTGAAAAACCACCTCTCAAGCCAGCCAATCCAACAATACACCTCTCGCTCATAAAAAAAAAATAATGCCTCTTTCAGTCGGTGATAATAGAATGATCTTCCCTGTTACAAGAAGGTTCGAAGGTTCTCCTCCTGTTCTCGAAGAACAAGCAGCCGGAGGCTGATGCCCTCAACTGTCAAAAAGAGATTTGATTGGATTCCCCAATCGAATCCTTAACATCCTTGGCCAAATCCTATACCGTGTTCAACTGGACACACTAGCAAGTCTCCATAGCCAGCCAGTAAGGGTCCAAAGTACTGTGTCCAACAGAACACACAATATCAATCCCTATCCTTAACAAGGAAAATGTCCCTTATGTCTTTGGCAAAACTTACACCGTGTTTATCTGGACACACTAGTGAGTCTGCATAGCCAGCCAGAACTGGTACCCATATGTTGAAACTACTGTGTCCAGCTGAACACACAATATTAATCCCTATCCTTAACGAGGAAAGTGTCCCCTATGTGACCAAAACAGCTGCAACAAACACACACACCCACACACCCACACACAACACACACACACACACACCCACACACATCCAGCCCATCGAGGTATTGGATTTACGGTTTAGTTTAGCTTGGTTTCGGTTTATACCGTACCAGCTCCTATGTGTCTATTTTCGAAATCACCACAAACAGGGTACCCTTGCTTTTCTCACAGCCTACCCGGCTTGTATCTTTTGCCATCCCCAGCTTGCTCCACTGATGAAGCAAACAGCGAAATTCCTAAGCTCAGAATTTGGAAATCAGCAAGCAACGGTATACCCCATGGATAAACATCCAATGGTAGATTCGTCGTAGATTAACTCTTAGTAGTGTCTACACACATCTCACACAACATCACACATCTCACACAACACTCAACGTACACACACCTACACACACATTTAGCTTGGTTTCGGTCTATACCGTACCAGCTCCTATGTGTCTATTTTCGAAATCACCACAAACAGGGTACCCTTGCTTTTCTCACAGCCTACCCGGCTTGTATCTTTTGCCATCCCCAGCTTGCTCCACTGATGAAGCAAACAGCGAAATTCCTAAGCTCAGAATTTGGAAATCAGCAAGCAACGGTATACCCCAAGGATAAACATCCAATGGTAGATTCGTCGTAGATTAACTCTTAGTAGTGTCTACACACATCTCACACAACATCACACATCTCACACAGCACTCAACGTACACACACCTACACACACCTACACACACACAAGATAAAGTTCAAAAGGCCCTCAGCTTGCTAGCTGGTAGTTGAGGGCAATAAAGTTCAAAAGGCCCTCAGCTTGCTATTTTAATACTCTAGAGTAGCTGGTAGTTGAGGGCAATTTTTCTTACGGGGAGCGAGTCTGTCTACACGTTGCCTGTTCCAGTCATTGGGATATGCAACACGTCGAAACCTTCCCTACTCTAGCTAGGGCCTCGATGAAAAAATAACTTGTTGCAGTTTCAGTAGCTTCGACCATCGCAACCAAAGTTGCACACTCAACTTTGCAGTCGAACATATAGCCATCAATAGGTACCAAACGCTTGTTGGACGCCACATCCTCAACTCCCAGTGTCAGCGAGGGTCGAGCTAGCAGCCTCATGCCGTGCTTTCGTAGAAAAGCTTGGTAGCAGCGTCCATTGTGGTCTCCCTCTCATCTTCCTCTGCCAGCGATTTACAACTGGTGCAACAGCTGCATGTAATGCTGGGAGTTCCTCCATTGCAATTTGCCCTCAAGGTCTTGATGGATCGGAGCGCGCAGACTTCGACAGGCATGGATCCACTCAGATTGGTCCGATCGAGTAGGAAGGTCTCGAGGGACGTCAACCTGCCCAGATCGGTGGGAATTGTATGTTGGAGCGACGTGCTGTGGATTTCCAACGCCGTGAGCTTGGTGAGCAATCCAAGTTGACTCGGTAGGGAACCATGGAGATGCGAGTTGGAAAACAATTTGAGATCCTGCAGATGAGGCAATCCTTGGATTTCCGGTGGAATGGTTCCACTGAGCGAAGCATGGTTCAAACTCATAAACTTAATCTCCTTGTTTTCACTATCGCAAGTGATGCGCTTCCAAGAGCAGACATCGGCCATGCCATTCACGAGGACTTTTTCATTGTTCCACGATGCGTCCACAACGTTCAGACTCCTTTCCAGAACACGTAGACTGTATATGGCAGAGAAGAACGAGTCTGGGCTGTCACAGCCTCGAAGGTCAATGTGTTGGCCACCAAGCGGCGACAGAAAATACTGAGCGGATTTCCATCGAAACGGGCTTGATGTCTCATCCACAACGGCCATTCCAGATAACTTGGAGGCGCAGCGCAATACCTCTTGGAGACGTTGATTGCGAGGCGTTGGGCCATTGTGGTGACGACGACGAGACACCAACGCCGCAATGCTTGCTCCCACGATCACGGTCAACACCATGGCGGCTGCGCGCATTTTTCGCCAGGAAAAGGCCTGACTTGAAAAGGTCTGAATGGACCACTCGCTAGCAGGCGAGAAAATGGCTGTCATTCTGTTCAAGCGCACAGTAACCGAATTGAAGAAAGATGGCTCAGAGGCGTCATCAAAGGTTCCTCCGTCAGAATTCGAGGAAGGTGGCTCGTCCATTGTTTGGTCGTTAGATTGTTCTTCGCTAATTCCTTGCAATCGAGGCTCATCGTGAAGCTGTAGATGGTAATTGTAAATCGCCATGGGTGTCTCGTTTGTCAAGGACGACACTGCTTCTGACTGCACGGTAATATCCGTAGGCACGTTTTTGTCATCAGTACCGGTGTTGTCATCAGTACCGGTGTTGTCATTATCGTCATTATCTTCTTGTTGATGTTGTTGTTTTTCAACGTCCATATCATCGTCGCCGCCTGCTGGACTGTGCGCGTCTCTCTGATGGGGCTCACCCGCAACAGACCTACTCTTCCCCGGCTCAGTCGCATCGTCAAAGATTCCACCACCAGGAGGCGACGGAGACTCGGACTCCTCGGAAGAAATCACTATGGCAGGTTGTTGGGTTTCCATTGTTGCGTCTGTGTTGCTTTTGGCAAGGCTTCTCGCAGAATTTTATAGAGGGACGGATGGAGCTTCAGGTTTTCAGGAAAATCTTTCACAACACCGGTCATTTACTTGCACCCAAAATGCATTTGACAGGGGGTCAACAGCACCACAATGCAGCAGGCCCACCCACTTTTGCTTAAAAATTTAGTCATCACCAATGAGGTGGCGGATACGGTATATGGTATACAATGTGGATTGCACATGTGGCCAGCCCAAACGGTATAACGTTTACCGCAGTTTTTCTTTTTGATATTTTTGTAAAGAGAATTCAACACGGTTTACCGTGTACCGTTTCAATTATTTTGTGTACTGTTTACCGTTTACCGTTAATCTGCTGTGGCTTTGGGTTGTGCCTTGCTTCTTTGGAGACATCGCAGGAGGGATGATACCGTATATCGTAAATCATCTAAACATCAACTTTAAGTTGTGAAACCGTAAACCGTATATCGTACACAGATGTTGTCCTCTTTTGAACAAGTCCATGTATGAACGGTAAACGGTAAACAGTAAATTGTTCCCATGATGAACCGTAAACGGTATGGGCAGCAGGAAACTACATTGATCAAACAGTATGCAATACAGTACAGATCAGAATTTGACTTTTACAGTGGAAGCACTTTGAATCAAGCTGCTTCCTCTTGTGGAGTAGTGGTAGATGGTATGACCACTACTAGCTAGTAGTAATCACAAGGAGATGGCAACAACAACAACACTGCTGTTGATGCAGAGGACTTGTATTTTTTCCCTTCTTCCTTGATTGAGTCACTAGCAAACCAAGACTAAACTGGCTAGCTACATTGTGGTGCTGTTGACCCCCTGTCAATTTCCTACTAGTATCCTGTGAGTCAGCAGTTATGAACCTTAACGTCAATCAGGGGCGCAGGTCATATACGGCCTGTGCTTACCCACACAGGTCATACGACCCATGAAAAACGCATTAAGCTGTATCTCCACTCCAACTCCACTCTTAGCAGTTGTAGATAGCATCGTTCGAAAGAGCACTGAACAGTGCATATTCTGATATATGGGTCATCATAGGCGAAATCCAGTCAGAAGAGTGCTACGGCCCTTAGAAAGTGCTAGGTTTGAGTGAGAAAACAGCAAGCAATTGTTCTGCCATGGCCGAGGAGCTACATATGCCTCCACTGCTGGGAGAAGTATCACTATTAGATGATGATGCCTTTGCTAGTATAGTTACAGAGCCAGTAGACCTATCGCAGTTTCCAATTGGCAGTGCTCGACCTTCTGGAGATGGCTCAGAATCAGGCCACGAGAATGAGGCAGAATTGACGCAACAGCAAAATGACTCCCAAACAACCACTGCTACCACCAAAAAGAAGAGAGAGAGGTTTGCATTCAAGGGAAGGAGCTTCAAAGCAAAGAGTGAGTTGTTCTTGAATGCAACCTGCCAGCATCCTTTCAAAGAGAAGTATCCTCAAGATGTGGAGATCGTGGGAACCAGCCATTATTCAGTGCCCTTTCAATGCCAATGGAATGTACTACGGATTCAAATTGTCAACCCATGGGACAGATGTTGACAGCAAGTGGACTTTGTCACAGGTGAAGAGCAAACAAGAAATGAAAGCCAAGTTGAAGTCCCTCATGATCGCATACGAGGATGAACAGAAATTGTTGAACAGCTCGGAAAAATCCACTCCCGCAGGAGAATCCAGCCAACTCGAGCCACCAAACACCACCCCAACCACAGGAAACGTAGCCAGTAAAGCCAAGCAGAAAAAGAAGGGCACAGAAAAGGAGACACCCCAGCCAACGGAGGAGGATCGGGCAAGGGCTTATGCCGCTCTGAAGACTGCATGCAGCAGTGGCGGGACAACTGGTAGTTCAAATCAAAGTGGTAAAGAAAGAAGGAGATCACGCCAACAAGCTGAAGAGAATGCTGAGTCTGACACAGACGATGGAGCTGATTTGAATGAATTCGATGATTCCTTTCGTGCGCCCATGGCAGAGATCGTGGACAGTGAGGATTCGGGAGATGAATACGAAACGCAAGCTACTGACGCAACCACCATCGAGGACCAGGAATCCTTCGGCAAGATTGTGCAAAAGTTGATATGGAAGTTCGAAGAGGTTGAAGCTGGAAATGTGCCCTATGTTGAAACTAAGCCCTTGCTTCAGGGGAAAGCAGCTCAAACAACACTTAGAGCTGGATGCAGTGATTGCTGGAGCACACCATTCGAATGCTTTCAGCATCTTGGCTGCAACAAAGAATTCGTAGCACTACTTACTTGCACAACAGTCTAATGACTATGCGAAGGAAAGCATCTTTGTCAACAGTGGGCCCAACAAAAGACTGCACAGAGCTACTACATGGCAAGACATAACAACAAAAGAGATGCATGTCTTCCTGGGAGTGATGCTGAAAATCTCGCTTTTGCCTATCGATAAGGGTGGTTACACTGCTTATTTCCGCGAAAGTGATGTGGCCATCAGTTTTAGTAAGAAGAAAAAGCCTTGTCGCATCAAGAATACAAGAGGATGGGCAAGCGAGTACATGACATTGATCCGCTTCAAGCAGATCAGGAGTGCCTTCCACTCAGAATGTCGCTCAATGGCCGGATCAGGAGGTGACAAGTGCTACCAGCTGAGACGATGCATCAACTCGGTGAACCTAGCGTCTAAATCCACCTTTGATGCTGGTTGCTGGTGTTCTTTGATGAGGGAGGAGTTGCTTGTCGATCGCGCTTCTGTCCGTGCAGGCAATACAACAAAGACAAACCGGACAAGTTTAGAGTGAACTTTTTCATTCTAGCATGCTCCAAGACTTATGCCATTCTTCACTTGGATGTCTACCAGGGAAGGAACGCTGCTAACATAGGGATCCATCCTTCTATCCAAGATCTTCCCACAACGCAGAAGGCAACCATGAATGCTGTGATGTCAGCATTCGGTACTGAGACTAGGGGAGCTAGGCACCTAGCATTGGACAATCGATATCAATGTCCAGAGCTTGCTGTTCTTTTACTCACCAAATGCAATGTCTACTCAACTGGAACCTGTCGAAGAAGACATGTTGGATGGGATAAGCATATAATGGACTTGGAAAAGAAAGACGGTCGCGGATCTTACAAGATTGCTGTTGATAAACAGAATCGATTGGTTGAGCTGCAATGGGTGGATAACAAGGTGGTGTCAATGGTCACAAGCAGAAATGACACCACTATCGGCAAATTGAAGCGGCAAGTTCGATTAATAAAGAAAACACTTGATTGCCCAAACGCGATGATTGGCTACCAAACTACGATGTTTGGTATTGATAAGGGTGACCAGATCAGGGACCATTTCGGTGGCTTCTCGACAAAGGCACACTTCAAAAAGTGGTACAAGAAGATCTTCTTAGTGCTGCTGGATTGCATGCTGTTGAATGGACTGGTGGCTTGGAATTTGTCTGCAGAAGAGGACAGATTGAAGATAAGGAAGAAACTCATCAGGCATGAGTTCACGATGCTTGTCGCAGAGTCTTTGCTCGAGTACGATGAACCCGAAGATGCCACTGGAAAGCAAGCCACCGAAGAGAATCCTATGGCCAGTCATCGCCCAATGGAAGTTCCAAAAGGATCTGGCAGGCCCAAGTGCATTGTTTGCCACCTTGAATGTGGCAGTTTCTTCAGCAACAGTGTTGGCGAGGCTGGGCTCAAGCGCAATGTGAGTGTGTGCTCCATTTGCAAAGTCACTGCCAACAACTGTGTCCCCACAGAATCCCAGAGACAAATCCACAATTTGCCACAATTCAAGGGGAAGACCTGTTTCGAGATTGCCCACACAAAGGATGGGCTGTGCATGTGGCCGATAAGATCCAACCTTGACCACAAACATGGTGACATACGCACGTCTATGACGTGGCGCTTTAACGCTAGTACGTCTATGACGTGGCGCTTTAACGCTAGTTTTAAGTCTAATCTCACAATATTCCGATCGTAGTTCACTCTGAATTCAGAAGCAAGTTCGGTTGGAATTTGCACATCAAGCAAAAGAAACTTCCTGCGTACATTCTACGCAGCCGTATACTAGGCGTTTGGCCATTGTCAAACAATTTCGAAAATTCACTCGATTTCTATTAACAACGGTAACTCAAGGGTGTAACTCAAAATGAAGTTACTCCTTTTTCTTTCATTGTCATTACTTGCGACTCTTACTAACCATAAAGCCGCAAGTATTGTTGTTTGTTATTTACTTTTAGGTTTATTATCTCACCATGACGACGCTTGGTCAGTCGGGCAAGAATCCGGTCATTCCCTTGGTCTCTGAGTATAATGCTGGCGAGGTCGCTACTACCGAGTTGTTCCTTCTTGGCAACATGCTGTAACAACGTCAAGCGTAAGATGACATGATTGTACTGGCAACGAACAAGAACCGGAACCGTCCTTCGGGTCATCAAGGAGTTCGATCAAGTGAACGGCAACTCAGCCTTGAATTTGGACACGGGTACATTGAGGGCTAACTTCTTTTGTCAAATGTCTTCAAGGCTCTGCTCGATCTCTCTCTCTTTTTT